AAAACATGCCCTCTGGTCGTAGCGGGAAATAGTGTATTTGATTTGATTTATTCACTATTTCCACAATAAAGAAAAGTAAAATCAACGATTTACGAAAATTAGAAATAGTAGGGATAACGCAAAAACGTAAAATTAACTTATTTCCATTGCAGTCCCAACTGATGAGGAAATTAACCTGAACAAGCACAGTAAAATGGATCAAAAATCATCCAAATATTTTTATAACAAAACTACAAAAATCACGTAGCAAAAGCAAAAGGACACATTCAAGCGAACAATGGTCGTCAATACTAAATGCTGTCCCTGACAGCTTCTAATAATGTACGACGCGACGGAGCCGTCGGGGGGACGGGACAACACGACGCAATTTTGTCGGCTATGGCACACCATACCAAATTTAACGCGGACACGGCCGAAACTAGCAAAAAGTGTTGATTAGTAGGTTCCGGGCACCGTTGTCCAAGATCGTCCAGATTTGTATCATGATATATATTCGACGTTTTGCCTTTCGCTGATTACAAAAAGATTCTCAGTTCGGAACATCGCATTCTTTTTGAGCATCTCAGAGTATGGTGGACACAACATGAGGGCGCTGTTTGGAGGGAACCATTGGCGAATTCGAGCGACGACTGTAGATTTTGGGCGGTGTTTATTAAAAGTCGAACTATAATAAAAATTATAGTTTCGCTAACATCGCCCAAGCGATGGATGAGCGATGGTTTATTTAGTTGATCATTTGGTACCAGGGTCCAGTGCACCGCTGTTTGCACTGCTGGTTATCAATAACTGATTTCATTTATGATTACACAGGGAACCATTCACATGAAAATAACTGTACGAGATTTTAGTGATCTTAAGCTTGTACGTGGCGATATTCGCAGCCTACAGTAAAATGTTTGTTAGTAATGAAGACATTAAAAAAAAGGCCAAGGGGTGCACCCTGGTAAATAGGCCGAGCCGTCCGCCGAACTCATTAATAAAAGGTGTACCTCTGGCCCGGACTCAGGACTTCCAATTCTGAGCAGTTTGGATGAAATCGGATCCGAAAGTGGCACTATTTAGCCATTTTGTAGAAGGATGCATTTTCAAAATGGCCACTTTTCCGGACAGTGAAATTTCCTTCATTTTAGGGGTGGTATGCTATGAGTGACAATTGCTCAAAAATTCATCGGTCAACCCACTATTAGGCCTAAATGAAGGGAAATGAAAGAGGACGTGTCGAACATCGTTTTTTCTGTGCAGCCTGAACACCTGTTAGAGTTTTACTTTTAAATATTAATAAAATAAGGGATTTATCTCTGCTGTCTATGAGAATTTATTTGCTGTGGTGCACCCCGAGGGTCGTTCGTGTCCATCTGCATTGCGCATTGTTAAATGCACTGACCACTGGTCGAACTATAGTTCGAGCGTGAACTTACCCTATAACTTTATGGAGTGAACACATAAGATGTTACTTCAACCAAATAGCGCCCTTCTATTTTGTCCCCAATTAATTGGCTTTAACGAAACATTTATACCAGCAAGTAGTTGGGTTTTTTTTCAGAACACTCCACCCACTTTTGCAATGATTGCACAGCTGTTATCTTATGAGTCCGAGTTCGACCAAGAGAGGGGGCAATTGTCTTAACAACGCAAGCTCCTTGGTAGGGATTGCACGTCGCTGGTTCACACACTCGAACAGGGATTTCCATTAAATGGCTCTTCTGTCAGAGTGATTTTCACTCCTTTTTTTGGGGGGGGAGCTCACTTTTTTAGAGGAAGTTTTCACTCTTGCTTTTAGAAAGTACGAGCTATCATGCGCATGAATATTTGATGCACTTGCCCACGAGCAGTTTGGCAAGTCTCATTTGAATGCGTTTCCTAAACCTGAGCGTAGCTGAGCATTATTTCATATTTATGAAAAATCATGCTATATTGACGGTGTTTACTCTGCAGAACAGCATGATGGTTATATTTTACTTGATTCCGACGAACCACGACACTGCAGTGTACAAAGTGCACTGCATACACCATAAAAACACACCTTAGATAAACGTATCTATTAATGTAAAGAACAATGTTCAAGTGCTTTGTTTTTAAAGTTGGCTTTCCGACAAAGGCGTCACTAGCTGAAATCTCGATTCTTGCTGACTGTAAACACTTGTAACGATGTTACGTGTGAACGAACATTATGAACATGATACTTTTCAAAGTGCATTGTGCAATTGAGTTTATTTCAGCTTCTGGATCACTGTGGGAAAGCAAAGGGAAGGCTTCGCCTAAAGTTGACAACTGTGTAAGTAGTAAGTACCAGGAATCTAACAACTACATTTGTTGGTGTTGGTCGATGCAGGCGCGTAGACCTCTGATATTACTGCGCAAGAAGACAGCTTGAGGGGAAAGTTTTGGACTTTTGACAGAATATTTGTGCCTTTAATGAGAAAGGTACTCGATGTGCATAAATTAGCGTAATTTATTCATGAACAAATCATTATATTAATCATTGCATCATCGATGTCGTCAACAGTATGATGTTGGTGGCATTAGAGATCACCCCTGTCTCACTCTCCAGCACTGCTGCCGCCTCTTCTCCTACACAGCGTGAATTGACTTCAAAGGAGCTACCCTGAGCGCTGTTTACCGAGGTCATGCCATAGGACTTCCGGCTGGCCTCCAGAGGCGTACCCAGGATTATCTGAAATGGTATCAAAATGCAATGACTAGCGAGGGGGTCAGGGGACATGCTCCTGGAGAACTTTTTTTTCCGAGGACATCAAATCCTGCAATTTGGTGCATTTTAAATGCCCACAAAGACAAATCCAAGACTTCTGTTTTGTGGTTGTTATATTAGTAAAACAAATGAGGATTACAGAGAAGTAAAAAAAAGGGGGGCGGTCCTTCTAACGCCGAACTCCACCCCTCACGATGTGAACGCCCTTACCTTCAGCATAGGCATACCTTCTGCTCTAATACGCTCGTCGTGATACTTGCGGCCCTTGTGGACAGATGCATGAGCAGTGACGAAAATATGATTACAAAAAGTGGTGTAATGTCACCCAACATTTGCATATATGCAAGCTGGAAACGCCTTTATAATACAATAATTATGTTGATAACATTGGAGGGGTTCATAATTGAAGGCATGGCGAATAAGGCACATCCGCCCTCGATTCAACGGGCTCTCATTACGCCCGTGACCTCATACCTTACGAGACCGCTGACTGGCCAGAACATATAGTTATGCCTCAGCGTGCTCTCTTTGAATCGTTCGCGGGCTTTCGAACCCAGCAGGGTAAACAATCCCATACATTTTTATTTTTAAAGCGCAGAATTCTGTCACTTGTCATATTTGTCAATAAAATGGGGCTGAAGAAAACGTGCAAACGTTTGCAGGAAACAGGTACAACCAAGACCTCGTTTTGTCCAATTTCAAGTCATGAGGTAGGCTCTAATACTTGCGGTCATCGGTGACAAACAAGACTTGACGAAACGGGAGGAGCTGAAGTATAGCATTCCAGCATGTTATTGGGTTATGCATGGAGGGCCAATCAGTTTGACGTACTCAGGGAAACAAGAAGATTTGTTCATGGTCATAGAGCTCTATTTAATTATGTAACAAGTAATTTAATCAAGTAGTTCTCTGTTAATTAATAATTGTGGTGCAGGTGTGTACCTGTGCTGTGAAAGTGTTGACACAGCGAGTTTCTTGATTGGTGTGCACTGTATACATTATGTTTCTGAACCAAAATTAACCGATGTCTGGTCACAATTTCAGATACATGTTGAAGCAAAATCCTAACAGTTATCTGATTTGTTCTGTGCCACATGCAGGGTCCGGAGGGTAATGAAATTCAACACAATGGACAGGAAACACTTGCTAAGTGTTGCTGTCTGCCTCCTTGGCTTGTCAACTATTTCGCTGGCACAAAGTAAGTCCCAATAACATTTCCCTCATAAAATTTTTAAAACCACGGGGGGCCGGGGGGCACGTGCACCCTACGAATTCCCTCTGCCCCAGGTGCCCCCATCCTAAAAAACGGATGAATGGATATTGAACAAGGCTAACAAAACCTTCCCCCCAAAAAAATAAATAAATAAATAAATAACAATGAAAGCTGGTGCCCCCATTGTGCCCCCAACTAGTTAAATGTTAGCCACGCCACTGATAAGATAACCGATAATCATATTGAAAACAGTCGATGTAATGCGCCCTGGTCATGGTGAAAAAATTACCGTATTTCTTGTCTTTTATACTGACGGACATTATTGGAAACATCTTATTAACAACTTAACAACTGACCTGTGAACTGCAATGCCCACTGCCGTTTGGATTCGAACCAACGATCCAACCGCGACTGGTACGACGGTCGAGAATCTGTTTGCATTGCAGATGCAGGTCATTGGTTCGAATCCCATCAGATCAAACACAAGTTCTTTATTTTTATTATTATTTTTACCACATCATGTATTTACATGTATTGCTGTATTCAAAAACAAACTGTGGATGGAGATCCTCCCAAAAGCAGAGCTTGTCGAGTAGGGATCCTCTGACATAAATTAAGTAGCGTAGAATATTAAGCTACGTTATACATGTTGATGTATATAATACAAGCAAAGTAACATTACCGAGTTATGGAGAGATATTGCAATCCTGATAAGTAATGTCGGGACTCGGTTGGCAATAAGCAATTACCATGCAATAGGCCTAGCTAGTAAGAATGTTCCTTAATTTTTGTGATTTACCAAAAATAAGTCAGTTCAAATATTTAGATCATAAATATTCTACTAGTGCCAGTAATTGAATTATGTAGTGAGTTCCACAGCTTTGGGCCTTGTTGTTTTTGCATAATGAACAAGGTCTTCAGAAGCAGTGAAGTCGTCCTTTTTGTAAGTAAATTCTTTTTGTCACAGACATTTGAGGACGGTTTCACATGTATCTTGTCAAAATAAAAAACGTAGTGCCTCGAGTTGGACGAGAGGGCGCTATTTTCTTAGCTTTCTTTGATCAGATCTGAACTTAGCTGGTCCACAACGATTAAAAAATGCACGCCTTACGGTTGCATCGCCAACAACAAAATGAACACTCCCCAGCAAAGTTGCTCTTTTCAACTGATGAGGGGGCTGCTTCTGCTCGAGGTGGATGGGTCGAAATGATATGCCCTCCTTCTGAAGAATAGGACACAAAAATTAACAAAACATGTACCTCGAGATAGAAGCAATTAGTAGGGACAGTTGTTAGTGTGTTAGTCTTGGACTGTATACGCAGATAGCATTTTTTTCAGTAGAGGCCTACACAAAAAAGAAAGAATTTTTCAAAATTATGATTGTAGTATAAAGATATATACAAAATCTAAGCTCTTTGCTTTTCAGCATTTATTACAATTAATTAAGTCTATGAAATACCATACACCGCCCGATGCAACCATTCTTAGACATATTTCTCTCCACTCGGACGTCTTTGTAGACAAGTCACAAGCGAATAGAAAAAACGAACTGATTTTTATTGTAAGAGAGAACTTCAATTAACAAATACTGAAAAACATTAACATACCATTCGGGTAAAGAACTCACCAAAAAAATGCTCAAGGAGCCATTTAATATGCCAGGTTTTCCCTTACTGTGCCAATTATGTGCCTACAGGAATATTCGACAGCTTTTACTTTGGTTGTTTCAACATGCCTTTGCCCTCATTTCACGTAGGCATTTGTGTCTATGCGAAAAAACAGGCCTGAATACCCTGATTAGTTAATGAATCAAGCGAAATTATGTAACATTAGAATTGTACATCATGACAGGCTTGTATATTTTATTTATTTTTCATTGTCTCTATAACAAAATCAATTTTCTACGAATTAGATTGCCCATTCGTGACAGTAAGCAACGCATTCGTCAAACTGAAAGCCTCATCACGTATTTGCAGTCTTACATTAAACGTTCTGCATGTTCATTTATTTGAATGGTGCAAAATTAAATCCAATGCCAGTTATTTCGAAAAGAAACCAGGATATGTTGTTCTCAAAATCAGCGCCAAATTGACTTTATATTTGTCAAATTCATATGCACAGTACAATTTTCAAACTTCAAGTTGTCACGGAAAAGCTATAACTTTACCTTCGTCTTTGAATGGTGCCTGGTAGGTTGGACTTTGCCACCAAAGATAACCAGGCAATCCCCCTCCTACTTTGTGGTCTTACCAAAGCAGCCTGTGTCGATTGAATGTGAGGCGACAGGGATTCCAGCCCCTGAGTGAGTATTGGTGTATATAGTGACTGTGATCCTGATAGGAACTTCAAGCGAGGCTCCCAAATTTTCTGGGGTCCTTAATTAAGCGGTCCCCAGCCCCATGATGCCAAAAGGGCTTTGTGATCGCATTGGTTTTGTTCGTGGTATTAGTGTGTCTTTCCCTGTCCCCTCTTTTCAGCAGTGACTGATGCCCTGGCAAATTTTTGTTCCCCTCGGAAAAGGTACCGTTGGCAAAAAGATGGTGTGGATTTGTGGCTATCGGGCTTGTACTCTATGGACGGAGGCAACCTGATGGTACGACGGCCAAGCGAGCTAACCAATGGGATTTATAGGTGCTTTGCCTCAAATATGTACGGCGTGGCTTTGTCAGAAAAGATCAACTTCGTAATTGCTTGTAAGTAAATCCCCCGCTTATTTGTTCTCGTGGTGGCGTACGGTTCGATGGTACGAAACACGTGCTTGTGTTGTACAACAACTTGTAAATCCTGGGGGCACTTTTTAATGATACATTACAATTTACAAGTTCCTTTTTTACCATGGGCGTAAATCCTTGGGGATGGGGAGTACATGTCCCCCTCCCCACTTTTTGGACCGGGGGCTATTGAATCACCCCCCCCCATACACACTAAGTGTGTATTTGCCTGCAACTGGGGACCCTCTATTGTTCCTCTTTTGTTTGTACTTGTTTGACCACCCATATGTTTTGTACACAGTTGTCAATCGGGGACCTTCTGTCAATCGGGGACCTTATTGTCCTCTATTGTTCAGGGTCCCCAATTGAATGCAGAAACAAACTCACACACACCCACACTTTTGTGGTGAGGAAAACCTTGAAGCGGATTGTGAAGACTTCCACAAGATAAAATATGTTCAATATCATTCGAAAGGGGAAAACAATAAAAGCAAATCATAAAAACATATTATGGGTCATTATTATAATACACTGCATGAATGTAAAACACGTTACACATGTACATCGGTATCATGAATATTACCCCCATACAGTGTCGTCATTATGGTGCTACCCCCCCCCCCTCGAAGTTTCATGACCGGGGCAAGTCCTTCCCCCGTCCCCCACAAAGCCCACTCTCCCAAATGTCCAGCACAAATTAACGCCACTGCTTTTTACATTTTGCTCAAGGCAAACAAATTGCATGTTTTTTTCTGCCGTCTGAAGAAGTTTGAGTTTTGATTTAAAGCTTAGCAACTGTTTCATGGATCAGAGGTTTCCCACGTTGTTCTCCACGCTGTGGAAAAATTGTACATAGTGCTCAAAAGTCTTGTGGGGAATTAAATTGCTTAGTTATCTGACCTCCTGGTTGCATGCCTGACGCATCACCCAATCTGACTGCCTACTGCCTTTAATATAAATGAGGCTTTTATGGCAAAATGTCTCTAAATGAAATATGGTAAGTGAAAATTACCATATCAAGTGATATAAATGCAAGGCTAATAAGCGTGGCCCAAGTCAACAACGCATTGAAGCGAGAGTTTTCCCAGTAAAAAAAGAGAGAGAGACAGAAACTTCAAGGCTGCAAATTTGGGCAGGAAATTAATTAAACTGTCGAAACTGTTCTATTCCAACAGGAGACAAATTTGCGAAAAAATGTGAAAGAAGAAAAGAAAGGATCCTCCAGGATTCGACCCACAGCCATCCCCCATGCCTTTCCTTTACTTCACCCACTGTACCCCACACACCGATTCTCTCGACCGGCTTCCCTTTTTCCTTTAATTCCTTTGCGCCCACGACCAAAGATTGTATAGCGCCGCGAAGCGGCGCAAGATAACGAACGTCACCATGAATACACGTAAAACGTTGTATCGCATGGGCGCCATTTGAGCCTGCGATACGCGTGCGCAATGCACATTAATGCACAGGCGCAGGCGCCGCGGCAGGCACGTGCACCTGGTGAGCCTGCGCCCAAGCATTACCGTAAATTGCGCAGGCGCATCGCTTGCTCAAATGGCACCCACGATAATTACATCTTTTGGGCAGAGTTATCCATCTCGCGCCTTCGGCGCTATACGATCTTTGCCCACGACCATACAAATATATGCTGCTGAAGCAGCGCATGTCAAAATATATTACCGGCAGCCTTTGCACAGTGGCATTTTGCCGTAAAATCTTATTAACAGAGGACACTCTTGATGTGTCAGGTTGGTTTATGGTTGGTTGCGGGACGTCATTTTGTGAAGCACTCAAACTGAACATTGTACAAAATATAATTATTTTAGAAATGTAAATTGAATGTGAATATGAAATTGAAATCATAAACATGAATTCAATGCCATACTAACGAGTGCATATGAAGTACTGGAAGTGTTACGTCAGTCATCTCGCAGTTGGCTTTAGTTCATCACATTGACCAGTTGGCTGAAGCATAAAAGTCCAGAATACGGTTCAGTGTCTTTGTTTTGAACCATTACCTTGGCAACTGACAAAAGATGACATGTTCACATGGACTGTCCATGTACATGTACACGGACAAAATCTGAGATCCTGGGTACATCTACATTTACGCTGATACTCAGCAAAGTCCACCTCTGGATATTAACGCTGAGGTGAAGCGAGGTGCGTGCGAAGCAAGGGGGATGTTATTTTTGTGCGAAAAAATAAAGTAAAACATTAAAGTGCAAGAAAAAAAAGTGCTTTCATTTTGGGGCTAGTTGGCAAATATGAGTGTTCTGAAGACATCCACCGATGGAGCTGTTATGACATCTGCAGGAAGGGCATTCTAGAGCCGAACCGCTGTTGTATTTCTGTCCAGGGCTATGTTCTGTCTTTCAAGAGCTACAAGTAGCAACAAATGAGTTCCTAATGATCTTTTAGCGCATGGCACAAAGCGTGCAAAGACGATACTGATTGGGCTCTAGTTCCCGGCATTTGAGTGGGAGAAAGGGGGGGAGAGAAATGAAGACCATTTTTGAAACGATCGTCCAAATTACTTCCAGGCCCAAAACCCTTCATCGTCATCCAAGGAAGGTGCTTGTACCGTACCATTTGTGATTTCATGTCCTAAAGAAAAAAAAAGGTACCTAGTACCTGTTTCTCAATCTCCCTGATGAGGCCACCAGAGCAGAGTGCTATAAAATCTCTGCTGGAAATGAGACATTGGTGTGATTTCAGGGGGACAACATGGCCGGAGATCCCATTCTTTAACATTCTAATGAATGCCATAACCACAAATTTCACTTTAAGTGGTGATTTTGATTGACTGCCAAATATCTGGAAAGCATGCGCTGCACAACACTAGACCCGTAAACAGAGCCCGACGTATACTCCTTCGAGTATTTGACGAAGAAGTATTGGGCCCTGTTCACGGGTCTAGCACAATATAATACTTTGAACCCCCGTTTTCCCGCTGTCTCACGTTGACAGTGAATCTATGTTTCATGTCGTTATTTTGTTTTCTGCTGCTCCCTCACCCTTCTTGTCTCACAGTTGCTGATGGATTTAAAGATAGCGAGTCAACCACCTTCACCTTTGATGAGGGCCAGTCGGCCGCCATCCCCTGCAACCAGAGAGAGAGCGTGCCGGCGCCTTCAGTCTTCTGGACAGACGACGCCAACCCAGGCAACAGGATCCCCCTTGACAACCGCATCAGCATCGACCCCAACTTCAACCTGCGCTTCTCCAACATTAGGGTGTCAGACAGGGGCAACTACCAGTGTAACGTCAAGAATGACAATCTGCGCGTCCAGCTTCTCTCTCCCATCAAGGAGATCGTGGTCAGAGCAGGTATATTGCTTGCGGCAGCAGCACCCTGTGAGATTTTTCCTTTGCTCACCGTCTCGGAGCTGGGAAGCCCAGAAAATATTTGCCCTATAAAAACTGCACGGTTTGCCAGCCAAGCTATCAGGAATGCATACCGGTGCTGTATAAGTTGACTCTGAAATCGCAAGACTGATCATGACACAAGCTTCACTGAAATATTAAACCTCTCAAAGTCGTAGAGTCACGTTTATTGAGTACTTGTATGTGCATGTGGGCACTCCAATCCAGCGTGCTCCTCGTATAATACAGCCTGAAAGTTGGCCCCTGATGGCGCGCTTCCGAAACTGTTGGATAGGAAAAATAAGGTGCAAAGATTTTAGAAAATGTTGTATTTTTTCGTTCAGTTACTTTCTAGAAATCCAACTCGGAAAGGGGCTTTGGAAAATATTTGCTAGTATATTTATAGAAACTGAAATATCCAGCCAAAAATTGACCCATCACTTCCGAAAATCTAAACTACATGAAGAACAGTGCAATGAGGCAGTCTCGTTAGCAGATGCACGTTTACGGTTTGAAATTTTATGGTAATCTGTCAGTAAAAACCGAAATAAAACAGATCAAAAATATTTGACACACTTTTATAATTTATGAGATAATACACTCGAAGCAATATTCTACTTTTACGAAAGATTTTAATACTTTATCTAACCTTTGCTGACAACAACTGCGTGATGGCAGCTCGACGGAATCTGGAACCCATTGCCTGCCTCTAGGTAAATCTTTGCAACGTTGTACAATCTCGTTTTCACGGAAGCACGGGGAGTGAAAACAAAGTTTTGCATGAACAAGGAGACCTGGGTACGATATCGCCGGACGTGAAAGGTCGTTAGTAAAATTCGTTTCTTACCCATCTCCAGGTGACTTTTCCAAACTATTACTTGAGGAAGACAAAGGTAAAATTCCAATATGAGTGTTTCATGGGGTGGGCTCAGCTTATAGGAATTATTCTTCAAAAAATTATCGAACGTGATAGAAAGGCCCATGTAAAATCCCCATAGGCGGACCGCGCAAGGGTTCCGGAAGCTGGCTGCGTGACCTTTTGCTTTCATGCTTCATTAGATATTCCATGAAAACTATATAAGATAAAGGAAAAAGGGAACACCTAATTAAGTCGACTATACCTTGACACACCTGCACATGTTAGACCTAAACTTGCAATTTAAACACACGCACAACATATTCAACATGTTAAATGAACAACATGTGGTCAAGATTTGCATAATTCAGCAACACGTACAGTGACAGCAAGTTGCAGATTGATCTCGCTTATTCATGTTTAACGTGTACGTTAATTTGCTGTAGCATTCAGCTGCCTAAATTGTGCCCAAAAGGAGAGAAAGAGGTGACGTCTCGTGGGGTCTGATAGCACGTGTAATCCTTAATTCCGAAGTGGTTTTTGTCTTACCTATACGGCATGCCACGTGCACATCAAAATCCAATGGATCAATAATTACTAGGCCTACTGGTAATGATTTGGTTTGTACCTTTTTTTCTTCTCATAGTATGGAATATTGAAGGCAGGCCTCCTTCTTTTGTCTACACTCCCCCGTCATCGGTGGATGCCTTCCGAACACAAAATCTTCGCCTGAGATGCATCGCTGAAGGATAGTAAGTTAGAACTTCAGTTTGCCCTGAGGAAATCACCTATACGGCTAAATGTGTTTCAACCCCCCCCCCAACACACTAGTCCAGATTTTGTTGGTTTTCTCCTTCTCATTTATGACACACATGGTGGCCAGCCCAGCAGTAAACGGAAAATTATAGTTTTTCACATGACTTATAGTTAAAACTATCAAGTTTACTCTTTGCTCCACACGATTTTCAAGCCTGGATGGATTTTTTTATACTGCACATGTATCTGAAAGGGTTCTTTTTCATTGTCATTTGAGATCTTTTTTTTTTCTCTAGTCCGACGCCAACCATCACCTGGAACAAGGAAGGTGAGACATTGCCGGAGGATCGTACGTCGTACGAGAGCTACGGCCAGGAACTGGTCATCAGTGATGTGGTCCAAACAGACGTTGGCTCCTACAAGTGTACGGCTGAGAACGGAGCTGGAACACCCACCTCCTTCACAACAACTGTCACTGTACAGTGTAAGTGCCCAGGAGAAGAAACCTTGTTCACTAAATGACTCATAATCTATTCATTTTGTGCTATTCACCTGTCACCATTTTCACAGAGACGAATTTAGCGAAAAATCATGAATGAAGATCCAGCAAATGATGGGGATTTATTAGGGCATTGCACAGTCAGATCTGTTTGAATAGCAAATTAGGCCCACATAGAGCACTGGGGATGTGAAGATAGGGATTATTGGTGAAAGCGATGGCGAGTTTTCCCTGTCTTTTTGCCTTCAGCTACTCCCTATTGGCAGAATAAACCGGAGGACACTTACGCTGGGATCAACGATCGGGCAGTGCTGGAGTGCGAAGCGGAAGGCATCCCGGTTCCCATGATAACATGGCTGGTGAATGGTGTTTCCTCAGTAGAAGCGGGTTAGCTTGACAGTTAATTGACTTAGACGAATCACAAGTTATCCACTTGACATTAGAGCGCCCTAAAGAACAAAACGATTGCAAAACCTGGTGTGACATTTTAATTAAAATAGTTACTTGGATGCACTTTACTGTCAAAAACGGTTGCCGCAGTGCATTTCAATGTGACCTGCCATCAAAATGAACCTTTTTATTTTATGTCTGAAGAGCCAAATCCTCGTCGCACCATCACGGAGGGTCTCGGAGGAGGCAGGGTGGAGATTAGAGATGCCATCACTGAGGACAGCGCTTTGTTCATGTGTGTGGCCACCAACGAACATGGCGAGATATTTGCCAGCAGCTTCCTCCTTGTCGGATGTAAAGTTGTGTTTTCAGCTCACCATAGCTAGAAATCCTTTTCAGTTTATTACTCGTTTGCCTAATTTGTCTTGCTAAAAATGAAGTCTTAACTGGTTCCAGTTTCATTTGTGTTGTTTTTGTTTTCTTTTTAACAAGTAGTGAGACCTGTCGAAATAATCGATGCTCCAAAACGAAATGAGATCACCATCGAAGGGAAAGGATTTGAACTGACATGTGCCGGTCAGGGCTCACCGAAGCCAGTCATCACCTGGACGTTTCAAAATAATCCGGTAAACAACCTGGATATGTTCCTGTCATCTTGTCAGTCGTGATGCCAGATCATTACATAAATGTTTCCTTCGAACTATCCACACTTCTGAGCACTTCCAAAAAGATCATGACTTGGATTTGTTGGCTTCATGTCTCTGGAAAAAACATTTGGTTGCTGCTGGAACTAAATCCATGTAGACCGTGAAGCTTGTCTGTGGCAGGGATAACATTTTCATGATTTTCCTGATTTTTCAAACAGTTTATTTAAAAATCTGGCCAGTCCTGTTTTAACCATTAAGAACTTGTTACACATAAAGGTTAAGCTTTAGAAAAGGGTATTTTAAGGGGTGCTGATACATGTAGGCAAACCAAAATTTATAAAATATACCCTACATGGCTGTGAGGGCCCCAGGACCTGAGGTGATGATATTTTATTTTCTTCCAATCTCACCCCTGCTGTGGAGGAATAGTGGAATGGTATTGAATAGGAGGCTTAAATTGTTGACATGGCAGCCGACGCCGAAGCTGGAGATCAAGCTTGGCTTTGGAAAATGTCCCAAACATTTATCGTCACCCCCTCCCTTTTCCAGATCAGTGACACTGACCCAAAGTACAGCATCGTGGAAGACGGCAACACTGCGAGCACCACAAGCACTCTAACGGTGTCTGGGGTGAGCATTGCTGATGGCGGTGACTACAATTGCGTCATTGAAAACGGCTTTGGAGCACTGATAGCCACATCAACGGTGACGGTTCTAAGTAAGTGTCCAGCAGAGCTGCTTGGGGTTCCAGTGTCTGACGTCCTGGCAGAAGCAGCAACTAAAGTGGATGGGGTGTCAATCAAATTTGATTTTGTGGGCCTTGGGAGATCAGGTCTGGTGCCATACTTGACTTTAGCCTCAGTTCCAGCACACACTGTTCACGGTTACACTGCCATCAGTGGTGACCCTCCTTTTTTGTGTTGTAGCAAATGTGGATGAGCAGCTTGTCATCTAAGGCATTTTCCTGTGAGCTGTAAGGGAAAGCTGGGCTATTCACGTCTGGTTCAACTGGAACTCTTTTTTTTAATGGGTTTTTAGTTTCACACAGTGGTTATCAATAAGGAAGTTTATAGACAAGTTACTGTTTACTTCAAACGGGATACAAACCAGTCTACAACAAATGGACCTGAGACTTTAGTTTCCTTATTAAAAAATCTTCCGGGAGTATGAATCTACTAATAAAAAAAAGGAAAATGTGAATTGAAAGTAAACATACAATCTGATTGAGGAAATAAAGAAAACAAATGGAGAAAACAAAAATGGAAAATTGACATAGGCCTATGGAGCAGGCTCGAACCCAGTACGTTGAGCTTGCTGAACAGCGTGTGTACTGATTGCAATGCCACAACAATTATTGGAAATTGAAACGTGATATAGATCGGCAACGATCAATTACTGAGCAATTACTGTGGAATTGAGAAGTCACAAGTACCGCAACTATAGCCACTTTAAATCAGTTTTATGTCTCAGCTCCCTGGAAGAGGGCAGAGCTCTCAACAGCTCTGGGTCTCTGCTCAAACTATGAACCATTTGATGTTTGATTTAACAGGAAGCACAGCGATCATCGTGGGACCTGGGGATGAAGTGTTCGTAGAGGAAGGCCACGAGGCGGTGATCGTGTGTGAGGTAGATTATGACAAAACGCCAGAGCCAACGGTCACCTGGTACCGCGACATCGGGGCCGGTCAGGAGCAACTGGACCTGAGCCTCCCCGGTGGCCGCTTCCGACGCGCTAGGACCGGCTCGGACAGCCTGAAAGTGCTGAACACCGTAGTGGAGGACACAGGGACGTATGAATGCCGGGCAGTCACGTCTGAGAGTGAGGATTCAGTGTCCACCCGGCTGGTGGTCGTTCAGAGTAAGTCGGGAGTGAGCCGAGTCCATGTGGCTGAGCCTGTGGCCGAATCGAGGGGCTGCAGATGGGAAAAATAAACACACACTGATGCCTCTGCAAAGTGGATGTAGCCGTTGTATGTAGCCAATAGCTTCCAATGTTTTACTTGTTATTAGCCTCGAGCTTGGCCAAGAGAAGGCGTGATATCCTCAGCAACGGAGGCTCCTTTAGTCGGAACTGAACTTCGCTGGTTCACAAGCGACAAAGAAATGCACGCGTTACGGTCGCATCGCTACCAACAAAATGAACACTCCCTACCAACATGGCCCTTTTCAACTTATAAGGGGGTATTCTGCTCAAGGCATATTTCCAGGGTCAGTCACAACTTTTGGACACAGTCTTACTAACCAGAGAACGGGTTTTTAGAAAATAGCCATATTGGTATTCCAAGTGAACTGGAAACGAGATAGGTCTTTATTCGGACGTAGCACCCTGTTTGATAAATTGCTGACTAATCACGTCCGTGTGGATGAAAATGTTGACGATGCATAGGTGTAGGTCTACAGGTCTACGTTCAAAATCAGCATAGCTATTCATTTTGTTGCATCAGGTACCATCAAGAGAAGTCTTGACAATTGATCACACCACCTTCAAAGAACACGGCAGTTATAAGTGAAACACTGTTTGTTCAGAATATCCCACTGCGTTGTCATGTGTGGTTAAGTACACATTTGGGATGGCCCGTATTATGTGCATATCTCCATATCATGTGCATATCTCCATATCATGTGCATATCTAACATATTATTACAGTGTTTTGGAAATAACAAAAAGCATCAATCGTAGTTTTAATTTTTGTGACTGTCAACAAATTCTGTGTGTCAGTTTAGAAGTAAACTCTCCGTAAAGAAAACCCAGCCGTATTTCTAATGGTTCGTTTCCGTCTTTTGTCTTCAACAGCTCTGCCCAGCGCCCCATCTGCTCCAATTGTGACACAGCGGTCTGATGTCTCCGACACCATGGTGGCCCTGTCATGGACCAGCGGTGGTGATGGTACTGCCCCCATCACGGAGTATATCATCTCCTATGAGACCAACTGGCCTGACCTGGGCTGGCAAGTGATTGACACCGTCCCGGCCACCTCCACCCAGGCTTCCCTGGACCTCTCCCCCTGGGTCACCTATCGGTTTCGCGTAGTGGCCGTCAACGACATTGGGCAGTCGTCGCCAAGCCCGCTGTCGGAGGATTACACCACCAGTCCCAGTATCTTGACAAAAAACCCAGAGGAAGTGAGACTTGAAGCCACCGAGCCCGGCAAGATACGATTGGCGTGGCAGGTAAGTTAAGCCAGTTTACGGTTGAGCTGTTTATTCTCCTCAAAACAAGGGAAAGGCGCTGGGTTGTCAAAGAACCTTCCTCGATCATCTTACTGAACCAAGTGTACTATACAGCAATGGCAGAAACAAGGAAATTGCATGAGCATTGGTGAAATATTCTATTTCCTATTTCTACTTTACATGTAGGTCAAGTACTATTCCCCCAAATATTCCTAAGTAGAACTCACTTTTGTTGTAGAATCAGCTTCGGATAAAATTGAGTTTGTTTGAATTACATAGTTAAAGGGAGTACAAAATGAGACTTGAAACTTGCCTTCGATTTATCGTGACCGCTTTATATAGGAGGTTCATCCATACGACCAAAATGGGACCGGATTTAAGTACGTTGCTAGATGGTGGGAATCAGGCAGTGAAAGGCTGTTCTATAAGGTAGAAATCAATGGCTACTGGATAACCAGCTATGAGATTGACTTTGGGGAAGTGTACAAGGAGCTGGAGGTGCAACTGTGGTACAAGAACGATCAAGGAGTAGGGCCACGCCTGGAGAAGTCGGGTTTCACGGGTGAAGGAAGTGAGTATCTGTCAGGACCAGTTTCCTGAAGCTGGTGAAGCATTGGTAATTTTGCTAAACAACTAGTGTGTAATTTTTTTACTCTTTTCAAGGATTCTCCACTTACAGTAAGCAGAAGTGTAACACTGGACCCTTGTATTAATTAAGCATGTGTACAGAAGACCTGTGCACTGACCTCAGCAGTGTATTTGCTGTTCGTGGTGCTTGCCTTGCCCTCACGATAGTGGAGAAGTGATGAACCACGCCCAGCATCCCCGGACAGCAAATCGCTGCACTCGTCACTCTTCTGTTTAATGCACGCTTCAGTTCTTATTTCACGGCAGTTCCCGCCCACCCGCCTCAGAATGTCCAGGTGACAGCTGACGGCCCGACCGCAGTCATCATCACCTGGGATGAAGTGCCGGCCTCTTCTGTTAATGGCCGACTGCGAAAGTTTTTGGTGAGCCGTACCCATTTGATGGAATTTGTTTTACTTGAGTTGAATGAATTGCCTTTCCGATGGGAGCCACTTGTAAGTGGACTGTTTGAAGTTTTTAGAAGTCGGCGTATACTTTGCCTCACCCGGCTATTCTACCGTGGTGAACAGCCTACTGTTTACTCATTGAAAAAACTTTCAATCAGCCCCTCTCAAACTCTGATCTGCCAAACAGAGACTTTTCAGGATTTTGTCTGAATATGGAACATGATTCCGCTACTACCTCGATGCTGTCTCGAAACCCCAGGAGTGGAAGTAATGTGCCTCGGATGATTGCAGACCATAGCTTTCAGTGGTTTGGGGGAAGATACCAAAAACCCATTTGGGTTAATGCCCGTTGTGGATTTCAGACTTTCAATATTTAAGGCCTGCACCGAGCTGTTACTCCATTTGTCAGGGTTGTGCAAGCAGATCAAGTTATGGGGAAATGTTCACAGACGATCCTGGAGCAACACCTGAGGATCGCATGCATTTAGTATTCTATGTGAAGCTTAGTGTAAGGCTCAGTTTTTTTGAGTGATGATCGAGTGCCGACGAATATTGCCCCGGGCCCTGGAATTATGTATCATGTCGAAGGCGCATTGGCCTTACCTCCTGTAATTAACAGGAACGTTGCAGCCCCGTATACATGTATAGTGTTCATGAACCTGAGTGAATTATGAGGAATCCTGGAAAAAGTTTGTTCTTTATTCTTCCTTGTTTTTGTTTCTTTTGCAATCTTTCTGGTGGGCTCTAAAAAAAGCATGAATGGAGAACAAAGTGCATGCAATGACAACATGTCAGTTAATGACAAGTTTTGGGTCTCCAAGAGATGATAACAAAACCAGCCTCGCCGAAAAAAAATTCTTTAGCCGATTTTAATGTCAGTGATTTTGAATCGTGGCACTATTCGCAGGTGTACAATAACTCGGCTATGGCTGAGACCAAACGCCAATGGCCCGCTGAGTGCCTGCCTTACACTGACTGCCGAGTGGGAAGCCTCTCTCCTGGCCTTGCCTACCAGTTCCAAGTAGCCATACTAAACGGCCGGTACCTGGGCCCCAAGTCGGATCCTGTGACATTCCAGATGCCTTGAGATCAGAACTGACGGATGGGAGTGGTATCATGCACCACGAAGGATCGAAAGTGGGGAAAAATATAAAAATGATTTTGCTTTTTGTTTCTTTGGACTTCCGTTTCAAATGCTACAAATCGATGCATTACGCTGAAAAGGTATAGACACAAAGTTTAAGGTTAATAAAGTTGTTTTTACGCTAACGATGCTCCAAAAAGACGATTGGAACTTCACATCTAAAAGAAGTTTGAAACTCTAAAGGCACGCCAAAATGATGGCTTAGTGTCTTTCAAAGATTCCCCCAAAGTAATTGCCCGTTCCGTATTACTTGGTACCCAAGACCACATTGGCTAAGTAAGAGGACGGTTTCCTTCTTACTATGCTTTGTTGGGCAGAAATTAGTAGAAACTAGCAAGTAATTCCACTGTGTCACAAGTCAAATCTGTCAGCATTCAAAGTCAAAGGCCCTTTCAGTTTTTGAGAACTCTGCTTTAAGTTGCTTCTTGTTTTACTTTGTTGATAATGAACTTCTCATTAAGACCATGCGGCAGGTTGTTTTGTCTGTCATGAATAGATTTCTTTTTGTTTCAGATGAAAATGCACATTTGATATTCCTGCTCCATTTTTTGATTTGAATACATGTAATTTTTTACATCATTTACATAAATTAGGTAAGATTTCCTCAAATTACGTTTCATACAATAGCAGGATTTTTTCCTCGTTCCTGTTAGAAACATTTTAATGTCCCTTAAAAGAGATTCAAATAAATAACTGCACACTCATTTTTTGTTTTCCTTTAAATTTGTATTGAAAGGGGCCTCTCTGGTATACTTTCCTTAGGAAATCAACTTTAAATTAATTCAGGAAAATACAAATCTGAAAACATCTATCGTGGGGATGAATTTAATCAGAAGCCTGCTTAACTAAACCATTTCTTATTTGATTAATTGAATTCTTCATCAGCTGTTTTTCTGAGAGCTCCTCACGATGTTAGATGAACGAAAGGACTTATGATAAGTTTAAAGATCGTTTTGATGTTGGAGTTTTTATAAAATTCTTGTTTAGATTTTAACAGCGTCGTAGTAAAGTGACTCAGCGTTTATTATGCCTTTGGCTAGAAAATCTGTAATAAAATGTAGATGAAACGTAAAGGAACTTATGATTCGCTTTTGTTTTTTCTGGCAAGTATTCAAGGTTATCGTTCGTCTTCAATGTATCCAATACAGATGGGTAAAATCATCAAAGATGTCCAATTACTTCCATCCCCAAGATTTGAAGTAAAAGTTACCAAGTCTTGTAAGAGTGCATTGTGAAAAGTACGGGTGGCATGATCCGACATCAGCCTACCTGTTTAAACTCTTTATCATCTTTCCATACGCTGGGAGTTTGTCACATTCTAGAGGACTGGAACTTTTCTCGACATACCAACAGCAGCTTAATGGACCCCCCCCCCCTTTTTTTCAAGCTGTGCAAACGTTGCGGCCGCAGCAGGAAATGACACATGGCTTCCACTGGTGATCACCCTGAGCGGCGAAGCCGCTGCGGGTCCCGCTCCTGACGCCCGGCACGAGAGGGCGAGATGGAAACAAACATCTAAAGAGTGGAGGGCGCTTTATACATGTACCGTATACTCACCAAGCAATTTACAATGGCTTAGCTAGGGTGAAATTTCAGACGGGTGCCCGGGTATGCACACCTTTTTTTTCAATGGGGTGCAGAAACATGAAAACTTCTCAACCAGATTACTTAGTCTGATGATGATTGATTCAGTCTATTATTCCATAAAAAGGACACTTCCAGCCAGATGGGCTTCGTAGGATGTTTTCAATATGCAAGGTTATTAGCAAAGTTTTTGATTTCCGAATGAAACTGCCGTTTGAATTTACAAGTTTCAAGAGCGTGAACTTCATCTCGACACTTTTTGCAAGAGTGCACACATCACCTCGAAGCCTACAAAGTGGAGTACATGTATTTGGACAAGAAAACCCGTATTTAGTCAAGAAAACCCATTTCCGGAAGAAAGACCTTTGTTAGAGCACAGACTGGTCATTCTATAAATCTGGGGTCCAACTCTTTTGTGTCCCTGTCACATTTGACAAAGAAGTTTGCGAGTCTGGAACAATCTTTAATTTCTAAGAGTGATCAATTCAAAATACCTGCCAAACTCATAAATATCAATTTCAGTGATATTTCCACGTCAACTTCCACAGATCAGGTGTAACAGAGGCACCAAAAATGTTACACTTTTGGACCCCCAATGTATAGAATGATCCAGATACATGCAGCTCATTTGGTTTTTTGCTTATAACTGAAAAAAGTGGACATACTTCACAGAGAAGCAAAGGAGGGGCTAACGTGCATCTATTGTCATCTTTCTTTTAAATTTCCTTTGGAGTGTCCCAAAAGGAAAACAGTCCCCTATCAACCCCACCTTCCCTTGAATCTCCCACTGAGTTGACGATGTCTGAGAAGCTACACGAAAACTGTGTGAATATTTCCAACAAATCAAAGCACAACCGCTCTTTGCCCTTGGCAAGGTATGACCCTTCTTTTTATTCAGTGCCCTTTCAAAAAGACCCAAGCACAGTTGGAAAAAAGGTCTTTATCCATTCTGAAAAGGGAGAAAGAACCAAGATCATTGATGGTTGTAGGCTGTAGATTGTATTGCATTCATCTAGAGCTCCAATGGTTCAACCAGCTGGATGCAGCGGAACATTTTTGCACACTCCCCCCCCCCCCGACAGCTGAGACAGACGAAGAGACTTGATGAGCACACTGCTTCACGGTGAGGGGTTCCACTCATTACACCAGTAAATTTGTAAGTTGCCACAATTGAGTTAAAGACATCTTGTTGAAATCCGTCTTTGTACTGACTGTAGAAGGTCAACCACAACCAAGGGTTTTTTTCACCCAAAGTTTGCCTGTTTTTAATACATATTGTCCACTTTATGCTTCAGCCTTGGGCTTCGGGTGTCTCTTGTTGTGCTTCTTGGCAAATCGCATGTTCTTCAGGAATTTGGGATCGACCTTTGAGGGGAAACAAAGACAAGAAAATTACCGATCAATTTCCCTCGTATAGCATTGCAATATTCAACACAATTCGATTCTTGTTCAAAATTTTACAGACTGCATGATGAAAATGTATTTTTGCAGTGCCAAATAGAACATGTTACAGTCTGCTACACACTTTTCACGGCTGCATGAAAAGGAGGCCTTCCTACAAGGTAATACTAATTTAGGTTGGAACTGCGAATTACTAAGGGTCAGTGACTCAAGACTTCGGACACGACACAGAAAAAACACAGTACACAGTACGTAAAAAGTCATGACCAATAAACAAGTTCCTATTTTTCCTCCAAGTGTAACCCTCTAACTGGATTGGATACAGGGAAATTGACAAACGTTTTCTTTCAAATACATGTACCTTGTTACGAAGCCAAAACATAAAGCGACCCTGGCAAAGTAATGATGATGTTACAACAATTCTGCTAAGTCCCTTCATTCTCACAATGAACCTTCCCGAATCTTCCCAAAGCCCCAAACTGTGCAAGAAACTTCATTGCTTTCAAAATTTTTATGAACCAATGAGTGCCATGAAGAGTAAAAGTGTCTGGGCTCGGCCTCCCTCAATCCTCAGGAATCCTACAAAAACCTTCAAGGACTTTTAAAGATTTGGGAAGGACTAATCTCTCAACATCATGCCAAGATGATACGCACCCCTTTTAGAGATGGACTCCTTATTTTCTTTGGCCTCTTGATACCATTGCGATGGTTCTTGCGGCCTATGTGAAAAAGAAAAACAGAAAAAAATGAGCAACACTTTCACTATGACTCCCACTGGGAGACTTTATCAAATATGCAGGAAGCCTGTTTACTACATTGCTGGGATGCTGGCAAGTGACAGAACTATCTCTTTAGAGACGGCACTACCACGTCTTTAGTGGCGTTGTGAGTGATGTTACATTTGAAGAAAACTGAAGTCATTATTAGACAAATTTTCCATTTTACCCCGTCCCCCCCCCAAGACCCGGAATACGGCCACTGACAAGTTATGGTAATTACAGCAGAACAGTGGACCGTTACCAAGGTGCACTTTGAGCCAACCAATGAACTGAAGTGGCCTCAGAATGCTTCCTTCCATCAGGACTCTTATAAAGTTAAACTCTTTCAGTACGTCAGTAGTAATGAAGTGAAGGAAAGAACTATCAGCCTGTCATGGTGAAGAGTTTCTTACTCCTCGTTTTCTGACAACATCTGGAATAAACTTTAGAGGTAACACTTACTGTTGTTATGACTGGTGTGGTTCTTGGACTTGGCCATGGTGCTCTGTTGACCGAGCTCCTGTAATATGTCAAATACATGTGAGAGTGTGACTGAAAGTGAAGGGTTGGGCCCAACTATTAAAGAAACAAGAACCGTTAGGGAATACCTGAGATTTCATCCTACCCATCAGCTAGTCACGCTAGTGAAGCTTGTGTCATTTCTGAGGTGATGACGTAGGCAGCGGGTTACAATTGAGCCCAACATAATAAAATAATTCCAAGTACAGCCCATCCACATTATCCCGTAAAATCTGAAAATGTTATAGCATGCAAATGAGATGGTGGCCAGTTGGTCTGCACCAACAGCATCTTCATGACCGTTATTATCATAAGTTGTCACTCAAACTTTCATTCATTTTAGATGTGACACACTGACTATGATATTTAGGAGCCTAATAAGTATTAGGTTTTATCAGTATTAATAAATATGTGATAAATATAAATATTATACAAATATAAATAAATACTACTATTAATTATTAGCCATATTCAAGTACAATATACAGTGTACATAATGTGTGAATATGATTTATTTCAATATTTGCCACTAAATATAAGTGGCCTGAGGCAAGTCAAGAAGTGACACGAGGGGTCATTTTGGTCAAGACGTTGCTATGCTAGAAAGTAAAAAATCATGAACATGTAAAAAACATGAATTCTTAGAAGTTACGGCGCTAAGGCCCACATGTATGATTCTCCCTAGAACTTACATGTACTACATCCATCTTTTTGAAGGTTCTGTATGCTATGGCATTTTGACAAGTGCTCTGCCAGGGTCAGGTAGTTTTACGTGAGAAAACCTCTGGTTGCACTTTCTGGAGCAAATCTACCCCTGAAGACCCTCATAATGAACTTCTACCTATATTGAACATCTGTGTTTGCGTTTATTTTGAAGAATTTAACCTATATTATTGTCAAAAAATGAGGGTTTTTTCCTACCATTCCACCAATTTGCATGGTTAGTTTATCAGTAAAAGGTCACATTTTCTTACAATTTACAATTTGAAATTTCCAAAAAACAGGGTCAGCGCAATAAAGAGAGTGTTGCCTTTCTTTTTAGGGGGACTTACCAGTTTTGCAAGATTAAAATGTCAAAAAACTAGGGGGGGCCCCAAGTATACAATCCCCTAGCCCCACAAATAGGACTGTAGTGGCTCTCTTTTTCAATCTGTCTCTTATCTGTCGCCACCACAGCCCTACTTCAAGGTATGTCTTCAAGGTATTCAAGGTAGGCGTTTAAGCCTGAAATCCAAACTGCAGGATTGTCACAAACTTTGAATCCTAATATCTTCCGAAATGAGAATGACTCGACAATTTTACCTACACCGGCATATTCCTCAGAGTTCAGACTTTTATATGACCACCCTACAGCTTTCCCACACCTGCTGTATCATGCTCCACATATGTGCTGAGGGCGTACTATACACTAGCAAAGTGCGCGCCCAACTTATTACTGAGCAATACTGTGACAACATTGATTATGCACCTACAGCACCTGTTGGGTGCCTTGACTTCAGCCGCATGAAGCGCTGTTTTTGTTTTTCAAAATGGCGCTGCCCATGGTCAGCATAGAAATATCACATGCCCAGTTTTCTAGGCGCCACACATCGAAAAATATATGGTTTGGGAAAGCTTTAGGGTGCTCATATAAAAGTCCAAACTCTAAGGAATATGTGCCTTGAGGTAGGGCTGTGGTGGCGACAGACGAGACAAATTGTAAAAGAGAGCCACTACAGCCCTATTTGTAGGGCTAACAGTCCCCATGTATCCGTACATGTACATGTACATGACATATGTACATGTACTGTACTGCACGATAGCCTACGCAGTTAA